CCCCAAAACCCCAAAACCCCAAAACCCCAAAACCCCACTTCTTATGATAATTATTGAAATAATAATGATGACTCCGATGCGGCCTAATGGAAGAAAGTCTTCTATGTTTCTTAACTATAACATTAGGCACCAGAAGACAGATATTGAAAATATAGACAAGGATGTAATTCCGGCTTTCATGCAGAACACAGAAATGTACGCTGTGGAAGAGATTGAGCAGAACTATATGCCTCCAGAAAATACTAGAAAAAGATGAAACCTATGCAGTAAGCAATAATTTAGGCGTAGCATAAGTTATTCAGCACTCTGAAATCTCTATTCCAGACAAATTGCATTAAATTTCTTCTAGTTTAAGTGATCAGCGCAACCTGTTTGAAATCGCAATGTGAAATAGCTTGTATATCGCTCCTTCGATATAATGAATTACTTTCAGAAATTGGAAATAAATATCTTACTGCTAGACAATTCATCTACTGGAAGGAGTAAATTCTAAGTATGCTAAACTTCTTATTTACCCATGAGTTTACAACTTAAAGACTCTAGTCGATTTTGAATAAATATTTTAAAAAGAGATTATTATTCAAAATTTTAATGCCTATTAATACTTTTATATCATCAAGAATGGTGCTTCCTTTGTTAGGCTTTTGAAGATAAATATAGGAATTACTACACCTTAATACTTTAACCCATCTGTTTTGAAAATATCCTTAAAATACCTTCATTCTTCAAAATAGTTTAAAAAGTCTGGAAATATTTGAAAATAAAGAAGCTTGAGGTACAGATTCATAGCTTAAAGGTGGCACATCACTACCTCTGTTCTTACAAGTGCCGATCAGATAGTGATAAACCTTAAGTATAAAAGTGGCTAGTTCCCAAGTATAAATCTCTTAGTGAATGTTCTAACTGTAACTTTAGTTGACAAATTGACATGTAAGAGTGAGAAAATAGAACCGATCGAGGGTATTCTTAGCTTAACATCTTTAGTAATTCCATTAGAGCATGACAAAGAGAGAGCTAAATAAGAACTGGAAGAGTCTTAAATCTAAACTAATGAACATGCTTTTTATGAAGCGTATGATAGAAAATGCAATGAATGAAAAAGGAGGAGATGATAGTATAGAAAACGATGAGAAAGCACCGGTGGTATGTGCTAGTATGATCATTTCTCCTGATAGCAAGAGAAAATAAGCACTTTGACTACTTCATATCAATCGTAATGATCATTGATATGTTCTATAATACATATGCCGTCTTTGTAGATGACAGTAGTCCAATGTTCAACTTCTTAACCATCCCATTTTATTTGGTTCAAATGTATATTTGCTGCTTCAGTGCTTATAACGTGGACGAAATTGTCGTAAATGATATTCGGATCATCTTAAGGGGATACTTTAAATTTGAATTCTTCCTCGACTTCTTAGCAACAGCCCCTTTCTTCCTTTTAACTGAGAAATTGCTCTTTTTCAAGCTGCTTAGGTTGCTCAAACTTAAAGCTTGTTTTGGAAATATTCACGAGATGTTGTATATCATCATGAACTCTTTTATGCATTCGAGGAAAGAGCTTATCCAAAATATTTTGACACTTATAAAATTCTTTACTTTGTTCTGATACACAGTCCATGCACTTGGATGAATCTGGATCTCTATTGGAAGAGGTGGAGGGGATGAAGGATGGGTGGAAATCAAGAGTGAGCTCCTAGAAGACCCCTCTTCTCATTCTGATGTGTATATAGCAGGCATCTACTGGGTCGTTACAACCTTTACAACTGTTGGGTATGGCGATTTCAGTGGAAATACAAACCAAGAATATATCTTACAAATGTCAGTGAAATTCATTGGAATTGGATTTTTTGGGTATATTATTGGAAATATAAACTTTTTGATCGGACAAGTTGACTCTATTGAAGAACTTGAAGAGGAAAAAGATGAACAGAATAATCTCTGGCTCATCAGACTCGCTAGGGCGAATGCTAGCAAAGTTCTGACAAATGATTACTATGAACATATCCTTAGTTTCTTCACAACGTACTGGAACCTGGATTACTACTTGCTTCGGGAAAACGAGTTCTTTAATCAATTGAAGCCGAGACTTCAGAAAGAAGTAGCCAATATCTGATTTGAGCCTGTCTATAATAGATTTGAAGGTTTCTTTTCAGGACTAGAGGAAAGTTTTAAAAGAGAGATTGTTCACCAATTCAGATTTGAAGAATTCAAGAAGTTTAAACCCTATAGTGAAAAATACGAAGGTGATCGGCTATCTTTCCCTGAGAAGCAGAGAACCTCCTTACTCAAGAAAAATAAGATTCCTGAAAAGGTTTATTTCTTTACAGAAGGGATGGCTTACGCATCAAATGCAACAGGTCGGTACATTTATTTTAAATTGCCAGAAGGTTCATTCTTTGGAGAGACTCATGTACTCTCCGCGACGCCTTGAAGTTATTCAATATTCTATGATGAAGAAATAGGAGCTTCAGCCCTAGCAATCTCTTCAGAAGCGTTACTCAAGATATGTGAACAGTATCCAGACTCCTTCCATAAATTGCGTGAGAGGTCTGAAAAAAGGAGGAAGCTTTTCAGATATTATAAATTTGAAGTTATTTCCCATCTGGCATCACTCTCTCGCAGAAAATATACCATGAAGGAAGACCAGCCTATTATTACAAAAATGTATTCCATGGTTGAGAATAAGAAGTCCAAGGGCCAGATTTCAAAATATGCCAAGAAGAGGCTTATAGGTAAGATTTGGGCTTATACATATAGAATCTGAACATATGCTCCATGAGAAGGAGAGTTTCTATGCAAAAAGTAAATCGCTCCGGCCTATTAACACGCCCAGGCAAACGCTTGATTCTTCGGTAGTGAGCAATAAACTTAAGTTTGGTATAACAATGCTGAACAAACGAAATTCAGTCGAGAACACAAACCATATTAGAGGTCTTGGAGATATCAAAGGTATTTCGGATAAATAATAATGGTAGAGGAGTTTAAAGCTAGCAAAATCGAATCTCTCAATGAAGGCTTTGAAGATGAACTTCCTCATATCATTCAACAAAGCATGGAGCCAGACCTCTGAGAAATATCTGAAGAAAATGAAATCAAGAGTTCAAAAAGATACAAAACTCCTGGTCTCAATTTTGATAGCGATGAGGAGAAAGAAAGCCTTCGTATTTCAAAGAAGACTCAGAGTAAGAAAGGTGAGATATTTTCCAAAATACCCATCTAGTTTTTGAAGAGAAACCTCCTCTTCATCTTTCAGCACATCAGAGAGTTGATTCAAATGCAAATCTTATTGAGAAGCCATATAATCTTCAAAGGTAAGCTCTGAGAGATAACAGGTTAGTGTTGAGAACAACCTTAACTCATTTCCAAAATTTTTGACATCCAAAATGTAAGTTCTTCGCTCTATCTCTATTTATAGGAACTCACGATATTCCTTGCTTAATAGTGGCAACTTCAGTAATGAACTCGGTAAGCAGAGGACTAGAGGAACATTTGAAACAAATCGTATTGGCTTAGAATCTAATTTTAGAATCAAAGGCTCCGATAGAAGAAGATAAAAATCCCAACAAGGATGATTCAAATGACGGAAAAGTCTTAATGCACAGCTCCAGATCTTCAAATACTGGTGACAAGGACGGTATTTATTCGGGAGGCTCAGATAGTGATGAAATGATAGTTGAAAGCGTCAGTGAACAGGACAGCCTGAGTTCAAGAAGTGGGGGAAATATCCATATTGAAGTCTCAAATTGATCTTCCAGAGCCACTGAAGAAAGAGGTATACCAGAGATTTTATATTTTAGAAAGCAAACGAGAGTACCTAAAAATGCTCTCTGTCAAAGGTGAATTTTATTCGATCCAGAAATAGCCTCTATAATAGTAACGAAATCTGATAATTTTTAGCAATCGAGAAAGAAGATGGGTTTCAAGATATTATCCGTTACACTAAACTTATGGATATTCCAAGAAGAAATGAACTTTTTGAAGAATTTTTGTAAGCTCTCAGCTGATTTTACCATAATCTGTACAAAAATTTATCAAATCACTTCCATAGACAAGATGAGAAGGTTGGTTTGAACCTTGAAATTGACCCTAAGGAAGCAATTGAGCACTGTATCAAGAAACTTAAAGAGAGTCATAATCCACCTACACCCAAAAACAAAAGAGACGACAATTCTTTCTCTAAAGAGGAGAAAGAGAGCTTAGTAAAATCTATCAAAGACACAATTTCAAAGGTGGATTCTCTAACCAGTAATGTTTACCTATAATCTCTAGAGAAATTCAATGAATTGAAGGCTCAAGGAAGTAAGTTTGTACCCTTAATTACAGGTAAAAATAAGGAAAAGCTGGATGCAATCGTGACCAAGGTGCAAGTGATAGCCCAGGCCAAGAAGACCTCCTAACCATTACTTTTATATTAATATAAGCTCTTATTTGGGGTTTTGGGGTTTTGGGGTTTTGGGGTTTTGGGGTTTTGGGGTTTTGGGG